AAAAAAAAAAAAAATATATATCAGAGGTCGAAGACCAACTTAATGAAATAAAACGAGAAGACAAGATTAGAGAAAAAAGAATAAAAAGGAACGAGCAAAGTTTCCAAGAAATATGGGACTATGTGAAAAGACCTAATCTACGTTTCGTAGGTGTACCTGAATGTGATGAAGAGAATCAATCCAAGCTGGAAAATACACTTCAGGATATTATTCAGGAAAACTTTCCTGACCTAGCAAGGCAGGACAATATTCAACTCCAGGTAATACAGAGAACACCACAAAGATATTCCTCAAGAAGACCAACCTCAAGGCACATAATCGCCAGATTCACCAGGGTTGAAATGAAGGAGAAAATACTGAGGGCAGCCAGAGAGAAAGGTCAGGTTACCCACAAAGGGAAGCCTATCAGACTCACAGCAGATCTCTCAGCAGAACCCTTGCAAGACAGAAGAGAGTGGGGGCCAATATTCAACATCCTTAAAGAAAAGAAGTTTCAACCCAGAATTTTACATCCAGCCAAACTAAGCTTCATAAGCGAAGGAAAAATAAAATCTTTTGTGAACAAGCAAGCACTCAGAGATTTCATCACCACCAGGCCTGCTTTACAAAAGCTTCTGAAAGAACCACTACACGTAGAAAGGAACAACCAGTATCAGCCTTTTTAAAAAATACCAAAAAATAAAGAGCATCAACATAATCAAGAATTTACATCAACTAATGGGCAAAACAGCCAGCTAATATTAAATGGCAGTATTAAACTCACGTATATTATTATTAATTCTAAATTTAAATCGACTAAATCCCCCAATCCAAAGACACAGACAGGCAAAAAAACCTAAGACCCATTGGTATGCTGCATCCAGACCCATCTCACATGCAAGGATACACAAAGATTCAAAACAAAGGGATGGAGAAACATTTACCAACCAAATGGAGAGCAAAAATAAAGAAATAAATAGGAAGCAGGAGTTGCAATTTTTGCTGATAAAATAGACTTTTAAGCAATAAAGATCAAAAGAAGCAAAGAAGGATCTTACATAATGATAAAAGGATCAATGTAACAAGAAGAGCTAAAGATCCTAAATATATACGCACCCAATACAGGAATACCCAGATATATAAGACTTATAAAGAGACTCAGACTCCCACACAATGATAGTGGGAGACTTCAACATCAATATTAGACAGATCAATGAGACAGAAAGTTAACATCGACATCCAGGACTTGAACTCAGATCCGGAACAAGTAAACTTAATTAACATTTATAGAACTCTCCACATTAAATACACAAAATTACACTCTTATCAGTACCACATCACACCTATTTACAGGTTTAAATGAAATATTGGTTGGCTGCTTGTTAGTTATTTTCTTCCCTCATTTTTTTCTCATTGTCTCTATTATTAAGCACAATTATAGGCATATCCATTTTTAGACTGCATTCTAGCCCAGGCAATAAAGCAACACCCCCGTTCTCTCTCCCTCTTCCTCTTCCTCTGTCTTCCTCTCCTTCATTCTTTTTTTTTTTCTTTTTCTTTCTTTCTCTCTTTTTTAAAAAAAAAAAAAAAATGAGAGGATTCGATGACTTTTGAGGTTCCTTCCAGTTTCACGTTTTAGGGCTCTATGATTCATTACTGTATTCATTTAATGCCGTAGAATGATTTAAATGGAATAGTCCCCCAGAAAATATACAGGAAATAAAATAAACTAGCTTGGCGTGGTGGTGCACACCTGTAGTCCCAGCTACTCAGGAGGCTGAGGGAGAAGAATTGCTTGAACCTGGGAGGCGGATATTACAGTGAGCCGAGGTCATACCACTGCACTCCAGCCTGGTGCCTAGCGACAAAGCGAGACTCTGTCTCAAAAAAAAAAAAAAAAAAGAAATGAAATTATACCATAAAAAGTTGTTTGCAACTTCTTTTCCTCACTCGCCAACACATTCTGCCCATCTGCAGGCCAACAGATGGGTCTATGCAACTCATTCTCATTCTCTTTAATATTTGCATAATATTCCATAGTAGACAGCACTCATCTGTTCGACCATTTCTAGTTTGATAGACATTTAGATTTAAACTAGACCTCACCTTATTCAACCATTCTCTCTTGAACATTCAGTACCGCAGAAAATGAGGGAAAGCTACCCATTTTTTTACACCTTGCATAAACTTAATTCTAAAACTTGATAAATCTTACACAGAAAGAAAAACTATGGCCCAATCTCATTTACGAATATAAATCCATGCAATTCTAAATAAAATATTAGCAAATGTAATCTACCAGAATATCAAACGAATGACCTCGTGGTACATTAACCTAGTTTGTTAATCCATGCTGGAGAGGAGGGATCTCTGATAAGGTTCCGGGCTGTTTTGAATGAAAACTACAAACATAATAGTAACTGAAGGGAAAGACTTATATGCAGCCACAACTATGAGAAACCAAGACCAAAACCAGTGTTCCATGGGGCCTGCCAAACTATGTCCCTCTGTCTCAGGAATGAGAGGAGGACACCCGCTGTGGCACTGGGAATCAGCTGACTGTGTTCTCAAACCCTCCCACTTTGCTCTTGGTCTTTATGAAGACAAGAGCTTTTCATCATGGGCATCATCCTACAGTGTTTTGGGGTTTTTGTTTGTTTTGTTTTGTTTTTTGAGATGAAGTCTCTCCCGGTTGCCAGGGTGGAATGCAGTGGTGCGATCTTGGCTCACTGTAACGTCTGCCTCCTGGGTTCAAGCAATTCTCCTGCCTCAGCCTCCCAGGCAGCTGGAACCCCAGGTGCGTGCCACCACGCCCAGCTAATTTTTGTATTTTTAATAGACACGGGGTTTCACCATGTTGGCCAGGATGGTCTCGATCTCTTGACCTCGTGATCCGCCCACCTCGGCCTCCCATAGTGCTGGGATTACAGGCGTGAGCCACCGCGCCCGGCCCCTGCAGTGTTTTTGAAGTAATTCCCAGTGGCTGGTAGGAGGTTACTCTAAATGGTGTATCTGTTTGCCTTCTCTGGAAAAGCTCCCCATCTCAAGGTGAAAGAACTACTTTCTTATCCTCCACATCCTAGGAACTGTAAGAGAGAGGAGAAATGAGAGGCTTCAGGGGAGTTAATCTCCTTGCCATTCAGGGAAGAGTGGCATTTATTAGTGCGGGCCTAGGCAGTCAGATGGATTTTGCTGGGAACATGTGAGGAGCACCTGGTGGGTCCGTGGCGCTAGCCCGGGACCTGTGGGGAGAATTAATCACAGCAGCTGAACAGGGTCGGGAGCACTTACGAACTGGGGTCCCAGAGAGGGAGGATCCAGGTGCGGTAGCTCGTTCAGAGCCAATCCTGGGCGTGTGTGGATGTCATCCTGCATCCACCCTGTGAATGAACCCTGGTGGCATGGGGTCTTCTCTGCTCCCTCTCAAGAGAGAGGCTGGTACCAGCCCCGGCACCCTACTCACACCAGTCACTGTTGACCTTGAGATTTCCCATCTGCCTCAGCATCTGACTTTCCACCCCGGGATGCGTTTGTTCGGTTTCGCTGGTTAGAGAACTGGAGACACCCGAGCCTGAGCTCCTCTTGGGGCCTGCCGTGGCTGCACCGCCAGGTCTGAATGAGTGGGGGCCTCTGCTGGCCCTAAGAGTAGCTTCCATTTATTAAGCTCTTACTCTATGCTAGACTCTGGAGGAGGAGGCCGTTAGTCACAGAGCAGCCCTTTTGTGCCAGGCACAGGGCACAGTTTGCCTGTTTTACAGGCAATGAGATGGTTCTGGGCACAGTGATTCTCCGGTGCTTCTAGGGAGCTGCCTGTCTGGCAGTGCTGCAGCACGCAGACTCATTCCATTGTGTAGTCTGTGGCTGCATTCCCATTGTTTGAAAGGTTTACCATGCAGACCTACTCAAAGGGAGAAGTGAGCGACCCCCGCAGGCATGCCCTGAGCCCCAGCCCACCCCCACTCCCAACGTGTGCGGTTCTGTTTCTGTCACGTAGTGCACAACAATGCTACAGAGTTGGTATTACTATTATTCTGATTTTATAGTTGAAGAAATTGAGGCTTGGGGAGGGGACTCAACTGCGGGTTCCAGTTGTGTGTCTGTGTATGTGTGTCTGAGTGTGTGTGTGTGTTTTACAAAGTAGGTCAGCCAGCAGCACATAAGCCTAATGGTGACATTTCCCTTGCAACATTTGTCACTCGGGCTTCTAAATTTGGCCATGGGGATGTCTTCAGGGTTGGAAAGTTAACACATACTGCCCAGGAGGGAGGCAATGTAATGTGATATGAGTGCCTCAGCTTCCTCATCCACAAAATGGGCTGAGGATAATACCTCATCACGATCACCCGGAACAAGGCCGGGCACACATTTCCTAGAGACTTTGCGGGAACTTAGTGAATGCTCCCCGACAGATCTGTCACAGAAACTGTGCCCCTTATCCCTTCCACACCTCTTGCAGCGGTGTCATCCAGGAAGGCTGGAAACCTCAGAAGATACAGGGCCCTTTTCTCAGCATACCCCAAGAAAACTCTCAGTGTCTTTTAAAGTTGTCAAGGTCCCAGTTTGTAGCAGTTCCTCATAAAATGCTAATTCCCTTTGCCATCCACTGGACTCACTCCTCATCCTATTCCCCAAAAGTGGCAAGGGCGGGCTGTGTCACGGCATTCCTAGCCAGGGGAGGGCATCTGGCCCCGGGGAGGGCATCTGGGCCCGGCACGTGAATTCAAGCCCTTTCCCAGCTGTAATAACCACCCTCTTCTTTCCACAGGGGCTAAACTGCACGGTCAAGAATAGTAAGTCATATTTTTCTGTTCTTCTCGTTGCATTGTTAATCAAGAGATGGCCTGGTGCCAACTTCTGGCAGAAGCCCTGCCATGCCACTCCAGGTTCAGGCTGTGAGCTACAGCCGTCAGCAGGAGGGATCCCGGAGAATCATGAATGCGTGCACCTGCGCTTCCCATCGAGAGCATTCATTATGCAAAAGTCAGGAAAGGAGAAACAGAACGGTCATTGGATTATGAAAGTATTCCCTGGGGTGCTGCCCTACTGGATCTATAATGTAATTTGATTTGCCACAGCTTGTCACTGTAAAGTGAGAGACATCTGTGGTGTAGATTTTGTTTTGTTGTAATTCAAAGAGGAGGCACATATTCAAGTGTCTGAGCCAATTAGGGACCCCGACATGTGAAAATAAAGCAGCTCTTACTACAGCCCCATCCCGCCTGTGCCCTCATGCCCAGTCACAGCTTCATCTCAAAATCAATTGTGTACTTTGTCTTCTCTCCTGAAATTCCCTTTAGACTTGAGAGATTTGTAGTGACCCCAGTATACGTTAGAACAGAGGGAGCAGGGCAATGAAGCTGAGGATGCAGCCAAGGGTCACAGGCTAGCAGGTCACAGGCCCCTGAACTGGTTGCTGTTTAGCTGTCTGTACCCGCTGCTGGGGCATCCGTCTCCGCTGTAAGTGTCTGAGTGCTGCTCTTCCCTGGCTGCCAGGTACCTGCCTGGATGACAGCTGGATCCACCCTCAAAACCTGACCCCCTCCTCCCCGAAAGAGCTGCAGATCGAGCTCCGCTTTGCCCGCACCCAGCAAGGAGACCTGTTCCCCGTGGCTCACATTGAATGGACGCTGCAGACAGACGGTGAGTGGGCCTGCCAGCAGGACCCTGGGGGAGTCTCCCTGCCTGCGAGTGAGTCCACAGACCCACCTGTCGGCTCTCCCAGTCAGGCTCAGGTTTGGGCTCCTGTGCTCAGACATGAGGGCTCAAACTTAGTGTTGTACGGATCCATCATTTCAGGTGTTAATGCTTGTTCAGCGTTTGGGATATTAACCCGCAGTGATGCCTTCCCATCACTCCATTCCTCACGAAAGGACGCCTTCAGCCTAATGTTGTTAGCACCCTGGGGGAAAAAAGCAAGTGGTTAATTTTGTGACTGCAATACCAAAAATGAGGTCGAAAATGGCAACACATTTGCCAGCCTGTTTGTTCCCTTAATTCAGGGGCCACTTTTAAAAACATCCTGGGAGCCTATTCAGGAATAGAGAGTTTATGTTACAGAATTAGAGCAAATGAGCACCAGCCCCAGATTTGTGACCGGGGCCTAGGGGAGTTCTCTTTGGAAGTGCCCAGCCTCAGTGCTCCTGCTGACTGCCGCAGCCTCGTGAGGATGATGGTGCGGCTGTGTTTGACACCCATGCCAGGCTGTCAAAGCCCTCACCACAAATTTGCAAAGCCTTTCCTTCTAGCCCTGTGTAAAGTGTCATTTTTCCTTGCCCAGCTGGGAAATAACTGTCTGCAAGGAAGTACACAGAGAGCGAGCTGAAAGGGACAGGAAGTGGAGAGCTGGGTTAGACAGGCAGATTTTCCTTCACGAGTGAAGAGCCACAGCAGACAGGGAGGTGACACACCCGGCCCTTGTCGTGGCTGACCTGTATCTGTGTGCCTCCTCTCCTCCTCTGCCCTCCAGCCAGCATCCTGTACCTCGAGGGCGCAGAGTTATCTGTTCTACAACTAAACACCAATGAACGTTTGTGCGTCACGTTCGAGTTTCTGTCCAAACTGAGACATCACCACAAGCGGGTAAGGATACAGCTCCTGAGTGAATCATGGTCCACTGATGACACCAGTACAGACTTGTCCCGAAATTCAGTCCCTGATTTAGAGCGGTGAAGACCCAGAGGTGCTGAGAGAGTGAGGAGTTCCAGGCGGCAGCTTCAGATGGGCAGAAGTCAAAAGAGAAGTGGTGTGGCCGTCGTGAGCAATAGTGAGGGACAGAGTGTATTTTGAAAGCTTTCCTGACATACCCCTGCTTTTTCTTCCTACTTTACTGAGCTATTCATTCTGAAAGAGAGGTGAATTGGAAGACAGCTTCCACAGCCCTGCCTCCTGCCATCTTTGTGTAACTAACTTGGATTAAGCTGGGGCTTACCCTCAGGAAGAAAAAACTGCCCAGACCAAAGAGCTGCCGCAGGTGGGCAAATGAGCACTCCGCAGCTCAGTCTCACGCTGCTGCGCACAGCTACATGGTGAAATGTTCATTCTTGTTTGTTTAAAACAGGGGGTCCCAAAGTGTGCTCCCTAGATCAGCAGCCTCAACCTCACCTGGGAACTTGTTAGAAATGTGTATTCTGGCTGGGCACAGTGGCTCACACCCGTAATCCCAGCACTTGGGGAGGCCGAGGTGGGCGGATCACAAGGTCAAGAGATGGAGACTATCCTGGCCAACATGGTAAAACCCTGCCTTTACTAAAAATACAAAAATTAGCTGGGCATGGTGGCCTGCACCTGTAGTCCCAGCTACTTGGGAGGCTGAGACAGGAGAATTGCATGAATCCAGGAGGCGGAGGTTGCAGTGAGCCGAGATTGCACCACTGCACTCCAGCCTGGCGACAGAGTGAGACTCCGTATCAAACAGAAGAAGAAAAGAAATGTGTGTTCCACGTCCCCACCCCAGACTACCCAGGCCAGAAATTCTTAGGGTAGCAACTGCTGCCTAACCGCCCCTCAAATAATTACGATACAAGCCTTAGTCTGAAGACTGCTGGTTTAAATCTGCAAACAGCTGCGTGAAAACAAGTTAGATCTCCCAGACACAAGCAGCAAAGATGGAACACCTCTTCGATGTTAGATTAGGACCCCCAAACTTGGCTGCTGTGTGATGGTGAGAACCAGGTTCCTCCATCCACTTAGAAGCAAAGGACCCCTGGCCTCTCCTCCAGGGTAACTAGAACGGGGGTTGGAGTCGATATCCGTAATCTCTACCACCCAGAAAATAACTCGCCACAAATTGATCTCTGCAGCTAAGGTGCCTGCTGGCCCAGGGCGAGTGGGCCTCTCTAGCTTGTCCCCCTCACTTTTTTACCCCAGAACTTTCTCAAGAGATCCCTGGCTTTCCCATTTAAGGAGGAAGAATCATTTGACAAAGTTTTTACCTGCCTGTGTGCCAGATCTCCACAGCCCCAAGTCCTCTGGCTCAGCCGTCTCACATCGATTGTTCTAGAATTTGAGAAGCCTGGTGGAGGGGCAGGACTGCTTTCCCTTGTTCACTGTCTGCTCAGGAGGCCAGATCCAGGTTGCTACTGTTTTTCTTAACAGGCAGAAAAGACCAGAGGAAACAGGACAAAGATACTGATTTCCCTGACTGGGTTTTGCTGTGGTCATTGCTTTATTCTTATTTTTGGCTGAATGTTTGGGAGTGGGTGGGAACGGGGGTCTTTGGGCATAGATGCTTGAGAGAGGTGCATGTAACCCGTCCATCTTCCCTTCCTGCCTTCTCTTCAGTGGCGTTTTACCTGCAGCCACTTCGTGGTTGACCCTAACCAGGAGTATGAAGTGACCGTTCACCACCTGCCCAAGCCCATCCCTGACGGGGACCCAAACCACCAGTCCAAGAATTTCCTCGTGCCTGGTAAGAGCATCCTCCCAAGGCATTCCCTCCCCCCTGGGCTCTATGAGAAGGAAGCAGCAGGTGGCACAGGTGCCAGCCCCCTCACTCAGCAAGGCAGTGGCTGGCACTGCCAGTGCCTGGGACCCACGAACAGAGGTCAGGACTGGGAGCTCTTTGGCGTGTGCTGCAGCCTCCACTCCCTGAGGCAGAGCCATTCTCTGCTGGCACAGCAGTGGACATTGGCCCAAGATCCCAGGAGTTGCATGAGAACTGGAGTCCCTCCCTCTACCTAGAGAAGCACCCGTCCTGCCCAGAAAATAGCATAAAGGCAAAGCTGCAGACCACTCGTGGAGAAGTTGCAGCCTCTGCCCGCAGCCTGCTGCCGCCCTCCGTGGCTTGCCCTCCTTCTCCCACCTTGCATTCTCCCTGCATCACGCAACACTCGTCCCAGGCATGGCGCTCTCCTTCCCGCGCCATCCACCCTGCCTGCAGTTACTGCCAGGCTTTTCTTAGGCATCCTTTGATGTACGTGCACCTTCTACTTTCCCATCCTCCCCAGAGGCTCAGCTGTTACCTGCATTTCTCTTTTTGATTTTAATAGAGGCGGTCTCACTTTGTCACCCAGGCTGTAGTGCAGTGTTGCTATCCTAGCTCACTGCAGCCTGGAACTCCTGGGCTCAGGCGATTCTTCTGCCTCAGCCCCCCTATAATTCTCACTGTTCATAGCCAGCTGTGTCAGGAAGCCTGCTTGATAAAAAAGTCTGGGTCTTCTGCCCACTTGGACCTTCTCCAGAGCCTCACAAATTGCCTTGCGTCTAGCAGGTGGTCTGGAAATGCTTGTTAAGGATGGCGTTGACCTTCTTCATCCTGGGGACACCCTGCACACGTGCATGCACACACTCTCAGCTTACCCTGCTGTGTCCCCACGTGTGGCTCACCAGTCCCTGCATGGCGCTGCATGCTGTGTGTTTGCTTTTATTGGTCTTTCCTACTGGCTTGAAGTCTCCAGGGGGCAGGGCTTTGTCCTGTTTACCACTTACCTGCAGTGCCGAGAACAGGGCCTGGTGCATGGCTGGGGCCCATCAGTGTTTGTTGAAGGAGTCAGTCTCCTCAGTTCTCTCTTCGTTCCTAAAGCGACTGCCTCAGTCCCGGTCCCTCCATGCTGATTCACATCTGTCAGTCATGTGTCTTCTCAGCCTGGGCAAAGACGGGCAGCCAGGGACAAGAAGCTGTGGGTGGACAGAGAAGGAACTGGAGGGGACCAGGATTGCCTGGTCACCCACAGCAAGCTCAGGAGGAATGCACTTGAATTGGGAGGGTTCCCTGAAAAACGACCATCAGGCAAGCAGGCTGGTGCCCATGCCAAGGTGGGTCCAGCCCACTCTAAAGGGGCCACCCGTGGACAGGCTCCCAGGAGAGAAAAGATAGCTGTTCTGGTGTCAGGAGTCTGGAAGAACAGGTTTCCGAAGGCAGAGACTTCATGAGTTCCCTTTTCTCTGCGTTGGCAGGCTGCGAGGACACCAGGATGAAAGGAACCGCACCGTGCGTGAGCGCAGGTAACGGGCTGCCTGGGAGAGCTGCACACACGCACACACACTCCCACTCCCACGCCCCTCCTCACTCCCAGCCTGCGTGTGTAACCTTGGCAGGCAGCCTGTGGGACCCCAGCATCACTGTGGAGACCCCGGAGGCCCACCAGCTGCGCGTGAGCTTCACCCTGTGGAACGAATCTACCCGCTACCAGGTCCTGCTGACCAGCTTTCCACATACGGAGAACCATAGCTGCTTTGAGCACATGTATCACATGCCTGCGGTAACTGCTAATTTTGACCCTTCTAAGCTCAGAACTGCCCTCCAGGCCCCAAGTCTCTCCTCTGCTAGTCTGACAGGATTGTGTTGCCGGAGCTTGGAGCTCACGCTGGGCTTACTCCGTCGCGGTCGTGGTGCCTTGCCTTTTTCTTCCCTGGTGATCTGATGGTTGACAGAAAGGCAGTGGACCCCGTCCTGCCCATGACTCAGTCCTTTTCCTTCTTCCCTCCTCCACAGGCTCCCTTGTCCCCTTTTTGTTTTGCTGTGTTCATTACAAAAAGGATTTGATGATTTAAAAACAAAAATGTGGAAATAGAGATAAAGGGGAACTAAAGGAAATAAGCGCCTCACACCTGTAATCCCGATACTTGGGGAGGCCACAGCAGGCTTGAAGTTGGAGTTGGAGCTGCAGTGAGCCGTGACGGCACCACTACACAATCGCGGCGGGGGGGACAGAGCAAGGCACTGTCTCCTAAAAACAAAAAGGCTGGGTGCAGTGGCTCATGCCTGTAATCCCAGCACTTTGGGAGGCCAAGGTGGGTGGATCACAAGGTCAGGAGTTCAAGACCAGCCTGGCCAAGTTGGTGAAACCCCATCTCTACTAAAAATACAAAAATTAGCTGGGTGTGGTGATACATGCCTGTAATCCTAGCTACTCGGGAGGCTGAAGCAGGAGAGTTGCTTGAACCTGGGAGGCAGAAGCTTCAGTGAACTCAGATTGTGCTTCTGTACGCCAGCCCAGGCAACAGAGTCGAAAAAAAAAAAGTAAATTAGTGAAATAAAATGGGCTGGGCACGGTGGTTCACGGCTATAATCCCAGCACTTTGGGAGGCCAAGGCAGGTGGATCACTTGAGGTCAGGAGTTCATGATCAGCCTGGCCAATATGCTGAAACCTCATCTGTACTGAAAGTACAAAAATTAGCCAGGTGCGCTGGCACACGCCTGTAATCCCAGCTACCTGGGAGTCTGGGCAGGAAATGTGTGCTGTGTGGCTCTGTACAACTGGTGTGAATGAACACAGATTTGTAGCCCCAATTCCCCGCAGCCAAAGCAAAGAGGGCCTTACCAGTTACTAAATGTACTTACGAATTTACAGCAAACTGGCGTCCATGCAAAAATGGAGTATTTTCTGGAACAGAAACTGGAAAAGCATTTGTCCCCCGGTGTTCCTAATGGGTGCCCTGGAGGCTTCTCCGTGGCAGAGCCACAGCGGGTTCTTACCTAACTAGCCTTGCCGGTCCCTGCCTCTCTCCTCAGCCCAGACCAGAGGACTTCCACCAGCGAACCAACATCACATTCACTGTAGGCAGCCTTAGAGGGTGCTGTCGCCACCAAGTGCAGGTGAGTGAGTGTGGATGGGCGCCGGGAGCAAAACTGGGGAACAGTGTGGTGTGGGGGAG